GGGGGGGGGGGGGGGGGGGGGGGGGGGGGGGGGGGGGGGGGGGGGGGGGGGGGGGGGGGGGGGGGGGGGGGGGGGGGGGGGGGGGGGGGGGGGGGGGGGGGGGGGGGGGGGGGGGGGGGGGGGGTTGAGTTTTGAGATTCACTGGGTGAGTTCTTGTTAGATTAGTCGTAGCTTTGTAATGGATCCACGCTTTACACGACAAGCTGGTTCCACGAATGAAATTCTTATAGGTAATCGCCCCTTTGCGGTTCAAGCACAAGAGAATGCTCTTGGAAGGCCCATGTTTCAGGATACCGTTTTGAGTCATAACTTTGAAGAATTTAATTGCTTTCCTCTCGATCCATCGCCGAATAACATGGCCTCAAGTTCCAGTATTAGAACCTCATCTTCTAATGAGGCGAGCCATGAGGAAGATTATCTGGAAGATTACGATTTCTCTGATGCTGTTTTGAGATTCATTAATCAGATTCTCATGGAAGAAGATATGGAGGACAAGACTTGCATGCTTCAAGATTCTTTGGATCTTCAAGCTGCTGAGAAATCATTCTACGAGGTCCTTGGAAAAAAGTATCCTCCTTCTCCAGAACCGAATAGATCTCTGGCCAATCAATACAGTGATAGCTTCTATGAAGAACTTTGTGGAGATAGTATTAATTGCCTGAATAGTTATCGTAATACTTTTTATTATGGTGATGATAACCCTTTTCAAAGTCTGAGTGAGGATGTATTTCAAATCAGAAGCACTTTAGATGATATCATTTCTCCATCATCTCATAGCTCCTCGAATAGTATTATTAGTGGGGCTGATGGGTGGGTGGACTTCTCGAATAATACAATTCTAGTCCCTGAGCCTAATAACAGAAGCCAATCCATTTGGCAGTTTCAAAAAGGGTTTGAAGAGGCAAGCAAATTTTTACCTGGTGAAAACAACTTGTGTCTTGATTTTGAGGTAAATGAGCCAGCAACTCAGGGTCCGGAGGAGGAAACGAGCGAGATATATTTGAAGGCAGGAAGAAAGGATCAGAAGAGTGTTTTGTCACTTGAATCACGTGGAAGAAAGAATCCTCATGATGAGGATGGAGATTTGGAAGAAGAGAGATGCCGCAAGCAAGCAGCTCTATTTACAGAGTCAACCTTGCGATCTAAGATGTTTGATATTGTGTTGCTTTGTAGTGCAGGGGAGGGGCGTGAACGGTTAGTTTCATTTCGACAGGAATTACAGAATGCTAAAATCAAAAGCATGCTGCAGAATGGGCAACTAAAAGAGTTTAGAGGTGGGAGGGGTCGTCGGAAGAAGCATAGTGGGAAAAAGGAGGTAGTGGATTTGAGAACTCTTCTAATTAGCTGTGCTCAAGCTATAGCAGCTGATGACCATAGGAATGCCAGTGAGCTTCTAAAGAAGATCAGGCAACATGCTTCTCCTTTTGGGGATGGAAATCAGAGGTTGGCTAGTTGTTTTGCTGATGGTCTGGAGGCACGCTTGGCAGGTACTGGTAGCCAGATTTACAAAGGTCTAGTTAATAAAAGAACATCTGCTGCCGATGAATTGAAAGCTTACCACTTGTACCTTGCTGCATGCCCATTTAGAAAGATCTCTAATTTTACTTCAAACAGGACTATAATGATTGCTGCAGAGAATGCAACGAAGCTTCATGTCATAGATTTTGGTATCCTTTACGGTTTCCAGTGGCCTACTTTAATCCAGAGATTGTCATGGAGAGAAGGTGGACCTCCAAGGCTTCGAATTACTGGAATAGAATTTCCCCAGCCTGGATTTCGTCCTGCGGAGAGAGTTGAGGAGACAGGTCGTCGCTTGGCGGCCTATGCAGAGAGTTTCAACGTGCCATTTGAGTATAATGCTATAGCAAAAAAATGGGAAAATATTTCTGTGGAAGAACTCAATATCCATCAAGATGAGTTCCTCGTTGTGAACTGTTTGTATCGAGCAAAAAATTTGTCTGATGAAAGTGTTGCCACAGAGAGTGCCAGAAGTTCAGTTTTTAGATTGATACGCAAAATTAAACCCAACTTATTCATCAGTGGCGTTGTCAACGGGGCATACAATGCACCTTTCTTCGTTACCCGATTTCGAGAGGCATTGTTTCACTTTTCTGCTATCTTTGATATGCTTGAAACTGTTGTACCTCGTGAGGATTGGGAGAGAATGCTGTTGGAGAGAGAGATCTTTGGCAGGGAGGCTTTAAATGTTATAGCATGTGAGGGATGGGAGAGAGTGGAAAGACCAGAAACATACAAGCAGTGGCAATTTTGGATCATGAGGGCTGGATTTGTGCAACTGCCTTTTTATCCTGAGATTTTTGAGAGAGCAGTTGAAAAGGTGCGGTCAAGTTACCACAGAGATTTTTTGATTGATGAAGATAGTAGATGGATACTGCAGGGATGGAAAGGTCGAATTATATATGCCATCTCTGCATGGAAACCTGCTGCAGAGTAAACATGAAGATGGGACAGACTGTGTTAATCACGTCTGCAGGTGTCTCTTCATTATTAGCTATATTCAAATCAAAAGAGACTGCTTGAGGACCAAGAGGTTAGTATTCATGAACATTAGCGCCATTTCACTCTCTTTTGTTGTTTTTTCCTCGCCCGTTTTTAGCTAATTATTGCCTCAATTATCTAACAGTTAACTGTGGAGCTGTTTCAAATTTGAAACTAAGTGTTGGGGAAGGCTCCAATGCCCCCTGTAGTATTTTCTTCCCTCCCCAGATGGAGAAATCTGTATTTTGGCAAATATCTTTCTAAGGTTCAGTCGGGGAGTCAACAATGTGTTTCGCCCTAAACTGCGGGTAGGAATTCATAACCGATTTTTTTTTTTTTTTTTTTGCCTTTTTCTCTCTTTTATCTTGCGAGGTTCTTCAGAAAAAGAAGTTATAAACCTCTCATCTTCTATGTGTGCCCAGAATTTTGTAGTGTATATATGAATATAGGAACTTATTAATCTCTTGTCCTTCATCATAATTTCACTGTTCTTTGTTTAGGGTTTCCATGAATACCTATATATAATTCTCACAAATTTTGGCATTGACAATTGCTTAGTATGGAAAGTGACCTGAATTATTATCGTTCTCGAATACCAATGAGGGCTCTGTTTTCTTTGAACTAAACCCAATGTTGCTGTTGTGGGGACCTCTGTCCTGAGCCAAGTTTTGGGGGAACATGGATCCGAATGTCATGCAATTTCTTGAATAATGAGATATACTTTACCAAAAGGAGTGGAGAAGAGTACCCGTAAATAGTCGTGACTGACGAGAAGCTGATGCCATATTCTTAGGACCTTCTTTTTTTTTAAGTGATTATTTGGAACAATGATTTATAGATTTGGTTCTTCCACTCAACCAAAAGTGATTTCAAATGAGTAAGAAA